AACTTGAAAGATGCTATTTTTCTGAAAAATGCATTTCTTTTAACATATGCGAAATTTTTTCCTTCACTCTTACATGCAAAAGGCTTTTGAATAATGCGTACCCAATGCAATGCCTATAGGTTGTTTTTGTAAACCTATCTAATATTTTTGATTAAGCAAGAAGGCAAAAATATTTTATCTCATTCGATTTATCATAGCACCTGACACAAAAGTACACATTCTTTCTCTTTTTATCTTATTCTTTTGCTGAGAAATTGTATTTAAATGAGTACTATAGCCTTTTTAGGTGATATTTAGAAATTTTCGAATTCAAATCAAATTTTAACACGAAAAACATTCAAGTCAGTAGAAAAAACCAAGTCAAATAATATATCTTTCAAAGCAATTAAACAACTTTTATATTGCAATTCTGTTGCTAAAATCTGAAAATTAAAATTTGTCATATTAATTTGAAATATACCTCATTTGATTCAGTTTTTTATTCTGACTTGAATGTTTTTCGGATAAAAGTCTAATATGAATTCAAAACTCACTAAATACCAGTTAATAAGGCTATAATACTTATGTAAATACGTTTTCTCATCAAGAGAATAAAATGAAAAGAAAAGCGATGCATACTTTTATAACTGATGTTCTGATAAATCAAATGAGATAAAATATTTTTTGCCTCCTTACTTAATGAAAAAAAACAATAGATAGATTTACAAAAACGACCTATAGGCATTGCAATGGGAGAAATTCGACACACCACCATCAAAAATTTATAATTTAGCACATTTCGAAAGACACGTGTTTTCAAGAAAAAGAACACCTTCAAAGTTTTTCGTGACCGATAGCTTACACTCTATGAAATCATGTGTAAAAAAACAGATGAAAAAGAAAAATTTTACTTGAACTTTCGAATTTATCGATACTTTACTTTTCATATAAAAACTTTGTTTTATTATAGAACTTCTAATTAAATCAGATTCTTATTATTGAAAAGAATAACTTCTATACATATATAAGAATAGAAGAAATATTTAAAATAATTTTCACAATAAATTTTCTTCATATTTCATTTCTTATTCTTTTGTATGCTAATAATAAGCATAGTGATATTTCGGAAATCTTTGATTGATATACTTCTAGATTTTATTTATGAATCTATCGAATATAGAAACTTCTTACATAACTAATTCACAACTAATATCGGCTCCAGAAGTCAGTGCACTCGAATGTTTTTTGAATAACTTTCGATAGGACCAAGTTACAGACCTGCGGTTTTCAGCATTTCATAGCCAAGACTCAGGAGCATATTTTCGTAAGCAAAATCTTTACTGAGAAAAAAATTCGAAGATCGATTTTTCAGCGGATCTTTGAAAAACGACGCTGGATTTCTGAAAACTGTCGTAGGAGCATATTGACTTTTTTTTAATATTTGGAATCAGCATCGAAAACCGAGTGGATTCATGTATGGTTCGAATCTTTTCATGAACTTTGTTTTTTCATCGAAAAATTCGTTCCCAGTCTCCCCGACGGCTAGGTAAAAAATGAATTCAGTCAAAAAGGCACTTAGATAGTAGAAAGTACGTTCAGAGGTTGTAAAATGCTAAAAGAACAAAAAATGGCAAATGAATAAGTAATAAAAATGTCGTTTTGACTGAGTTTATCTTTTTATCTGTCCGTCAGAGAGGGACTAGGGACGAATTTTTCGACCAAACAAAAGTTCATGAAAAGATTCGAACCATACATGAGTCCACTCAGTTTTCGATGCTGATTCCGAATATGTCAAAAAATCAATATACTCCTACGACAGTTTTCAGAAATCCAGCATCGTTTTCCAAAGATCCGCTGAAAAATTGATCTNATATATGTTCAAAGGCGTCCTTCTGGTTCTTAAAAACCGCAAACACTCGTGAAATGTTTTGAAAATTAGAAGTTTTCTTTAGGTGGGATGTATATATCCCACCGGGACTCAAATGGTTAAGTAGCTATGTGCGTTTTAGAATCGAAGTGGCCATCATTAACTACCGCTAATGAAAAATATATCAGCTGTGTATTTAATATGCATGATCTATTAATGAAAACGAGAGGCATCCTTATGAAAGTGTTTATGTTTAACAGTATTATTTGACATATTACGCTTGATGATATCAGATGGATGATTGTGAAAAGATTTTATAGAACAAAAAATTGTTTTGTTTTTAATAATACGTATGAAATGAATACAATAATTTATTCAAAAATAGAATAGTTTGATACACAAAATTTTTCTTTTTTGTATTAAAAGTATCGCAAGATATTTAATAATCATATGTTTCTTTTTTCTTATGTCTAAAAATTAATCTTTTATATTTGATTTAATGTTAAAAGTCGAACACGATCTCCTGTATCATATAAATAAAAATAAAGTTGCCAAGGAAATGGGCATAAATCAAGATCAACATTCATTTCTTTTGTACATCTTGTACGTTCATTAAAATAGGAAATTTTTCTATTATCACAATCAATTAATAATTCTATTTGTAATATTGTTTCGCCTTTCATATCACGTTGATTATAGATATTTTTTGCTTGAGAATATCCACCACCAACTGTTTGATCATCGCTACTCCAACCATAAACAGATAATTGTGATTCCATTGATGCTATACCAAATGTTGTTATATAATCTGAATTTTTTTTATTTATAATAAAACGAATTTTATGTTTACCACGTGTATATTCATTTTTACCACATAAAAAAGCATCACTTCGTTTTTGTTCACCATGCATTGCTAATTGACCATTATCTTCAATATGAATATCACCAACTGAACGTAAAAAACTTTCACTTGTAAGCATTTGTTGTTGTTGTTGTTTTATTGATGATAAATATATATTAGAAATTAATGTATCTTTTGAATCTTCACGAATAATAATAGATGAATTAATAGTTGTAAGATCTTTTTTAAGATTTTCTAATTTTAATGTCCATAAATAAAGATCATTTTCAACATAATCATCTTCTTCACGTGCTTTGCGAAGACGTTGAGAAAAATATTTTAATGTTTCAGATGCAGTTTCTAAAAATAGATAAAACTTTATTTGAACTAACAAATAAATTAAGACTTAAATTTCAAATGAAAACTTTAAAATACAACGAACATATTTTAATATGATTTCAACAAGGTTAAATCAATATAAATAGAACTTCTTTTCTCGTATATTTTATTCTATTTATACCTTTTTGTGTTTTTATATATTGACCAATGTCTCGTCGAATATTTTGTGCAACTTGTTGAATTTTAATTATGGAATTTTTTTCCCATTGATCAATTTGATTAATTAATGTATAATATCCATTATTTTCTTGATTAATTAATTGATAAAGTTGATCATGTTCAGAAACAAGTTCATCTAATTGATGACTAAGACTATCACGATGTTCACTAGCATGTTTTCGACAGAATACATTAGAACATCCTTGACATTTAAATATTCCAACACCTTTACTAGCACATTTAGTACATGGTATTGTTACACTTGCCATAAATTTTTTTTCCTTACAATGTTAACTTAGTTATGAATATATGAAATAAAACCTTGAAATAGTAAAGTTGTTTAGTATATGTCGTTGTCTACTAATTAATATGTTTTGAATGAAGGAATGTCAAAAAAAAATTGAATTCGAGTGGAAAAAAATAAAATTCGAAAGAGAACAAACTTGTAAAGAAAAAAAAATCACCATTTTGCGATTGATCAATAATTCAGTTAAAATTTTAATGCATTCTCAACTTTAGACATAATGTAAAAAAAGAAAAAATGAAATACTTTAGGCAACAGAATTTTACTTTTCGTTAAATACGATCGAAATCGAATTATTTTAGTTAAATAATTGAGATATAGTACGAAATATTGTTTTGCAAGTCATTTGTCTCGATTGAAATCAATCTCATAGATTTTTTATATAGTTGATCAAGGTTCTTTTTTTTTTTTTTTATTGTTTTTTTATGTTCATAGTTCTTCTACTAATCAATTCAATTTTTTCGCAACGTTTTAAATAAACAAGAGACTCACATAATATTAAATTTGGACAATAGAAGACTTCACTACAGTTAGTGGTATTTTTTCAAAAATATGATTTTTTTATCAATACAAATCCATTTTTCTTATCTTGCTGAGTGAAACTATAGAATAAATAAATAATGACAAATATTTCAATTATCTAAGTTTTGGAATATAAATAGTGATGAAAAACGAATGAAAATACGATTTTGATATACAATACTACTTCAAATTAAAAGTATTTGAATTTTTGTGAAAAAGAATCTAAAAGGAATGTTGAAGTATAGAGGTAGAAATTTCAACCCTTCCCTGCTCCCCACACACACAGACATTGCTAATATACGATCTCATACCGTATATCAATAATAATAGAATAAAACAATCTTCTTATGATTAGCAATAGCAGTTACATCATGCTTCATATTTTAATTCTAAAGGGATTGCGTTAACAACTTAAAAAAAAAAATTTTCACACAAAATTGATAGCAACAATAAAGAGATGTGGTTTTAGTTTTGGCAAGTGAATACATCAAATTCATATGTTTAATGATCAGCGCAGTGAATTTAGTTGCTATATGAACTGTGAGTTACGATCGAATATTAATGTGTTTACAGCTATGTATGGCGAATATACCTGACCTACGTTTATTGAGTATGTTAATTCGAAAACATAATTTAAACATTGTAATTCCAAGAACTGGAAAATTATGTTAATTTTCGCAACGTCATATACAGGTCGTTCAGTTTATTTTGAAACGATTTGCATGCAGTTTTTCTTCGTTATTAACTAATACAGATCGTATAGTTCTCATATCAATATATTTCCCTGACACTCTAGATGCTGTCATGATATTTATATTTTAGATAAATCAATGCCTCGTAAAAAAATATCTAATAATATCGAAGGGGTCGTCAAATATCTTTTGACGAAAAAGTATTCGTATTCTGTGATACAACAAGAATTATCTGAAATGAATCTTAATGTATCAAAAAGTACTATTAATCGTATTGCTAACAAACTTGGAAAAGAGTGTCGGTTAGGTTTATTAAATAATCAGAAACCAAAATTTTATCGTCAACGCCATGTAGCAACACCTGCAACTGTTCGTTGTATTACGTCATATATAAGTAAAGAAAATCCTCCAACAATCTCGTTAATGGCTGCAAGATGTGATATTAGTGTTAGTACTGCTGTTAGTATTATTCGTGATATTATCGATGCAAAATATGGTAAAAGAAAGGCCGGTACATCGTTTATATCCAGCTATCATTGAAAAGAGACGATCCCGAGTTTGGCGTATGTATCGTCGATTATGCAATGAAAAATATAAAAGTTGGGTAATTACCGACGAAACATGATTTTATCTCGATGCAAGTCAAGGTGTTAGAGATATATATTATGTCAGAAGTGATGGATTACCAGAAGAAGTTAAAAAAATCGAACGAAATGATTTACATCCTGTGGCTGTGCTGGTTTAGACCGGTCTGAGCGCACATGGTAAAACTCGGTTACATTTTATTGAGCATTGCTCAACAATTACCAGCCGATACTATATTAAACATATAATAGAACCGTTTGTCAAATACGTTATTCCGCGTTTATTTCCTGGTGATACACGAAAGAAAATGATTCTTCATCAAGAAAATGCACCGGGTCATACAGTAAAAGGGACAGTTAGTTATATGAAAGAAAAGAAAATCCAAGTTATGACACCTACAGAGTGATCAGCTAAGAGTCCAGAAGCTGCTTCGATGGACTATTCGATTTGGGGTATTTTGAAAGAACGGGTAAGAAAACACAAGGTGTCAACATTAAATGGGTTGAAAAATGCTATCAAACAGGAGTGAAAAAATCTTGAACAGGATGTAATTGACCATGCTTTGGAGAATTGGCCAAAGCGTTGTAGATTAATTTACTATGCTCATGGATCACATATCGAACATCTATTACAATAAATGTATAAAAATAAAAGAATAAGAAACATTCTATTTTGTTTCAAAATAAATTGAACAATCTGTATTGTCATTCTTTGTACGAGATTATCCACTAATATTCTTATTTATCAAGTTATTGTACGGTCTAGAAAATATAAGAGCAATTTTCATCAAATAGAAAGACAATTTAATTATGAATTTATAATTCAGTCACTATGAATTATTCCTCACAAGAATCAAAATAAAAAAATGATTCATAAAGAGTTTTTTTTTTCGAAAGTAGATCAACAATCAATTTTACATGAAACACATATTAATGCTAGTCTGTATCAACGAATCTTTCTTTATGATATTCGTTCGTTTTTCTGTTCCCAAGCGATAATAACATATAGACACATTCACACATATAACAAATACTGCCGAAATAAAAAATTAAATAAAAGAATGACAGAGATGATGAGAAGAAAGTATAGACAACAATATGGAAAAGACAAAAACAACATTACAAAGGAAAAAAAGATTTCTATTGCATATGTATGATGTTGAAGATCCTGTTCGACTTCTTTCTTCGTCTCGACTATCATTATTTTTTTAAAACTATTATCTGCCTATAAGATGATAAACAAATAAAATAACGTAACAACCACTCGTTTTTTTTTATATTCTTTTATTTTCTTTCTGTTGCAGTTTATATGTTGAAGAGAAAAGTAAACTGTTACTTTATATCTTTTTATTCATAACAACGTAAAAACTTTCATGACATCTTTATCTGTATCATTAAAACCACCTTGTACCGCATGTGGTAATAAAAATGCAGGTATATTTCGATGTGAAGGATGTTTACAAGTATTTTGTCGAAAACATCTTAATGAACATCGAGATTTTCTTAGTTATCAATTGGATGAAATTGCTCAGGAACATGATATTTTACAACAAACTATTGTTGAAAATGAAGACAAACAAATAAATCATCTTCCTATTCTTAAACAAATTGATCAATGGGAAAAAGTTTCGATTGAAAAAATTCAACAAACAGCAGAAGAAGCAAGAATACAAGTTAAAATATTGACTAGTTTACAAACAGGTCAGTTAGAAAATTTGATTAGTTTTTGTTATTATTGAATTATTTGTTATTTGATAGCTTCAAAAGAATTACATGATCTTGCTGAGCGATTAGAAAAAGCTCGTATAGATGATGATTATGTTGAAACAGATCTTCGAACATGGACAAATATGTTACAAAAATTGAAAGATGATATTAATACATTTTCTCCATCGATTTCTATTCAAGAAAATCCAGAAGAAATACTTGTTGCTAAAATATATGTTTCTACAACACTACAACAATTAAGACAACAGGAAAAGTTTAGAGAATTCTTTGGATCAGTTCGTATTGAAGATAATGATTTTATGGCGATACATGACGGTCTACAGAATGGTACAGCTTTTGTACGAGGAATCGGTGAATATTCATCGGGTACACATAAAATTCGGTTTCTATTTAAAAAGAATAGTCTCAAATATAAGACTTGGTTTGATATTGTCTCAGCATTAAGGTCAATCAGTGGAACATCCGAAGAATCTTACGAAAGCTTTGGATGGTCAAGTGATGATGATATTTATTGTACTGATGATAAAATGACAGGTGATGAAAATTTTCGAGATATGAAAGGTCAAACTTCATTTGAAATCGAACTTCAACTTGATTGTGATAATCAAAAAATTAGTTATGTTAATCAACGAACAAACAATCAAAGAGAGTTAAATGTCGATATTAAAAAATGTTCATTTCCATGGCAAGTTAGATTTTATTTGTTTGAGGTTGGAGATTTTGTTAGATTGCTGCATTAATGTTTAATATTATGAATTCCGATTAACATGTTGATGTTACTTTAGATTTCAATAAAAACAATGCATCATAGAGAAAATAATAAACTATCAGGAATATTATTTCTCTTGAAAAAAACATTAAAAATATTTGAATAGATTGTTATTATCATATTGAGGTACAAAGATAGAAGAATTGCCGGGGACTTTTCCACGTGTTATGTTAATCAATACAAAAAATTTTTACTTTTATTTTCAGTCTTCAAAAGATCGATTTCGACTCAAAAAAGTCATTTTCAATATGTCACGGCACATTGTGCCATACTTTTTCCTATTAGTGAAGTCTTCTAGCAGCACTGAGATATAAAAAAGAATTAAGAAGAAGAATTGCGATTAACCGGTGATTTTCCAACGATTCGAATGATATGAATACTCTCGAGAGAGAAAATTTATTCATCTTCCTCTATTATTTTGATTGTATGATTCATTCAGTAATCGATGTTTATTGTTGTATTTCAGTTTTTAGTCTTTGAGTTTAAGCGATTCAATAACATTCACTAAATACTAAATTTTTTCTATAAGAACAATTAAATATGATATACCATCAATTGTAGTATTTGCATGTGATAGAAGACACCTTTACTTTTGAAAATCTCTCACATTCCGGCTTCTACTCGACATAGATTCAATTCAATAATTTTAAAAGTTATTAAATATCTTTAAAAATTCTATTTATTGATTGTTGAAAATTCACGAATCATTCAAGGTCCCCATTATGAGAAAAAAAAACGATAAAACAAAACTGCCTTCTTCAATCAAATGTAATCACAATCATTCAATGTCGCCATGTTCCTATTATAAAAAAACAATTATAACAAAAATTTAAATACATTGTAGCAAAAACAAAAAGTATTTACTGTATAAACAATGTTTCTATTTCAATATATTTATAACGATATTTCTTACTAGAAAATTATAAAAATTCTATTCCAATATCAACTATATATTTCAAACTCATCCGCCATATTTACAAACTAGTAATATCAAATGATACCATCTTATATATCGATATAAGTTTTAGTAGTAACTTATTTGTAGTTCATTAACTAAAAGAAAAGAATCTCAAATAATAATTTTTTCTACGAAATCCGATAGTATTTGAGTAAAAATCAAAGATCTAAACCGAATCGAATTGAATTGAATTGAATTCAGTTTTTTAAAATTAATTTCAACTTCAAAAATTATTGAAACTAAATTAAACAGATCGTAAAATTCCATTTATGTTTGCAAATGAGAAGCTGTGTTCTTTATGTATGCACTTACATGTGCCTCTTTCGAGACCATAACAATTCAGGTAAATGAAAAACGATCGTCTATGAATAATTGACAGTGCTTGGAAAGGTATGTGTTGCACTCCAAAAAAAAATAATTTTCATATGAATGTTATTCTGTTTTTCTTCCCCTATTAAATCAACATTTTGTTTTATTTAGTCAAGCAAACGGGCAGTCTAAATTCTTGCATTATGATTAATATCGATATAATTATAATCTAGGTCATACTGCCTTGTAACTATTGCCTGCGAGCAAAAGAAAAGTGCACATAAAAAATAATTGCGAGAGACCCTTGTAATTTTTAGAAGTAAACATTTTGTATCGACAGTTGGAAGAAAGAAAAAATGCATGTTTCATCGTGAATAGGCGACTGTGAGCAGCTCGCTGTTTGTGTCTATATAAAGCACACTATACAATTTACCGTCAGTTTGTATTTTTCTTCTCAACTAATATATTTAATAAATGGCAACGAAATTTAGTGATTTACTCGGAGATAGTTTACTTGCAGCCAAAGCTGATGGAGAAAGCGAAGCCTATCGACAAGTACCAACTAGTGAACTAGAGAACAAGGTCGTGGGAATTTATTTTTCGTAAGAATATATTGAAATTAATCATATTTTAATGAAATTTATTTTTGAGGGCTCATTGGTGTGGACCTTGTCGAAATTTTACTCCAAAATTGGTTGAATGTTACACAAAAGTTCAATCTGAATTACATGATCGATTTGAAATTGTGTTTGTGTCATCGGACAAAGATGAAGAATCTTTCAAAGAATATTTTCAAACTATGCCATGGAAAGCTATCCCTTTTTCAGGTATCTTAAATGTTCTCGTCAATGACATAGTTGCACTTTTTCGATTAGTACAATTTTCATAGCATTACTGAGTTGAATATATAATAATTTAAGAGATGATTTCACCGATTTTTTCGTTATCCTTTGCATAGAACAAAATTACAATTATGGTTAAAACCAACGAAGACGCGATAGTACTCCCAGTTTGACCTTCTTTATATTAGAATATTACTAAAGAAAAAATTTGGCGAAGTTCTGCAATACTTATGTACGCTAGAGAAACTGGTGAATAGTGGAGAGTATAATTAAATTGTATAAAATTTCAGAAATAAAATGTTGGAAAAAAAATTTGCCAAAAAACCGTCGATTTCTGGACAAGTTGAGTAAATTTTGCTAAAATTTAAAAATAGTTTTAAAAATAACTCACACTCACAACCTGAGCCAGACCAAGTCGAAATAGTAGTTCGAAATTTAGCCTAGAAGTATGATCTGAAGGCTTCTACAAAAATAAACGGTTTGGTTCTTTTATAGTTTGTAGAGCATAGCACTGATAATCTTGGAAGTAGACGTGTTACGAAAGTGAGTCTCTCAGGTCAGATCAAATCGTGGGTCTGAATTTTGGATTCCGAAATTCTATGTGCAATTTCATCTTACTGAGATAAAGACGTTCGACATACTATCTGAAATCCGAGACTCAACACATATAACTGAAGATGTTTAGTTTCGTAACATAATCCGAAGTGCTCGAGTTATCGAATGAACAAGTTATTAATGTTGAAACTAAAAAATTCAATTTTCTCTTTACTAGAATAACTAAACAGAATAAAGCGTCTCGAGTTAATTCTATGAAAACATATTTATATTTAAAATTAATCTTGATGCACACTCATGAATAACATTTACGAAGAAAGACGTCTCTGCTAATTTTCAGCTTTTTTTTTATGGAAAATCAGATTGAAGACCAAGAAAAGTCAAAATTTAATTGGATTGTAATCATTAGTTGAATATTTTCATTTCAGATCAAGCTCGTGCCAGAAAACTAGGAGAGAAGTTCAATGTAGACGGCATTCCAGCACTGATTGTTCTCTTACCTAATGGAGCAATCTTAACTTGTGACGGTCGAGAAGATATCGTAAAAAAAGGAGAAGAAGCTATACGATTATGGTCACAAGATGAAAGCAAACTACCTATACCTCCTGATGAATATGTGTGGCAAGGAGTATTCTGCGACGGATGTAAAATGGACCCACTTGTTGGTCAACGATATGTATGTTCTACATGTAAGGAATTCGATTTATGTGCTGCATGCCAGAAGAAAGGACATGAACATACACTTACATATATGTCGCAGCCACTAGCAACGATTGGAATACTTGTTTGGAAAGGAATAAATTTAAACTCTTAGTATCTCAACAACTTTCAAATCCATTTACAACAAATGAATCACAATCTAGAAGAACTATACATCCAAAAGTTTTTAAGAACTAATTTATTAAAAGAAATTAAAATAAAATTGAAAAAGAAAACTCTTCTTTATCTGAAAAACGCTAATTCAGTATTTTGTTACTGAGAAAGCTAAGAAGTACTAGGAGTGTAATTGAAATGAAGACGTCGTTGAACTCAACCGTTGATTTTATTTTGTTAAACTTTTCAAGTTCATTACAAGATGTTTTCAGTGATATTTTTATTTGACGATTGCTTCGATTTTTACAAGCGCTTTAAGAGAGTTATACGGAATTGTGTAATAGTAAAAGAGATTTAAGCATTCGATTCCTTAGTGCTATTGAAGATTAATTTTTTTTAATATATAAATATACTATCAATAGATAAAATATGATGTTTAAACAAATCCAATAATTCCGAATAAAGGTAATTTTCGATAGCCTCTCTTGTTTGTGCGATTCTTGTTGAAGACGTTTTAAAGCAGAAGTACCAACGTTGGACTTCGCCTTTCGGTATTATGGAATCATTGTATTTGTGTGAACTTAAACACAAGATGTTTCTCGCCGACTTCACTAGAAAAGCTGTCACACTCGTACGTGTTACTGCTGAGGTGCTTGACAAAGATGAACTCAAGCAAGGGTGGGTGTAGGTATAATTATTCTCGCTCTTACCCATATCCACACCCACACTTCGCCATGCTAAAAAAGATCCATATCATAATAAAACAAGTTTTATAGCAGAATCTCAGCGTGGTTGATTGTTTTGACCTATGAATTCATAAATTTTCAATGAGAAGTGAAGCATCACTAATACTTTGAAGTTGCTTATCCCTTTATTCGAGAATCCATCTTAACATACAGGAAGTCATTTTTTGATTGCGGTATATGATTGAGGAAGTCTGAAACAATTGAAGTGGTGGATATGACATTCTTCGTAAATATATTTTGCACAATAAATTCACTGGCTCGTTAATTTAAATTGTCAGGATGTCAGAACTGATACACCAGTTATTGTAATGCCACCAACAGATAGAGTAATAATAAAGCGGACAAGAGTATACATATTGATCGTATACGATGTAGCTCAACAATTAAGATCATCCGTAGAAATCATGAAACGTAGTGATTGAGTGATTACAACAGCTTGCCTGGTAACGTAGTTGTACATAGATGTTACACACTGAAGAGCGCTCACGTAAGCAATTTAAAATGCGAGTTTCTTGCTAGAGAACGCTTTGTTTTGCTTAGAAATGATTATATCTCACTCAGAAAACTACATTATGGAAGTAAATGCTTCTATAGTAAAAAAACGTTTTAAAGAAAATATTTGATGGAGTTCAATTCGAGGACTCGAAAGATCATTTTAATTTTTCTTCAAACTATAATATGAATGTCTCAACTGTATTTTGAATCGAAGACTAGTTTTTAAAAAAACTGAAGAATTATCTATAAAGCCTTTCTCGAATTGGTGCTACTGCCATTATTAGAAAACATATGTAGGACTATATAATAAAAATTCTCTATCGATCGGACGTTAATTATGTTTTTATAACATTTGCAATGTACGGAATGATAGAGTTTTGTGAGACTTTCGGCCTAGTGACCGTTTTTTTTTCTACTCCTTTTTCAATCGAGTTTGTGTCTTTCCTATTTAGCATAGAGCCTGCAATTGATTGGTTTTCTTGAAATATTGCATGCTTATCAAATATTATGTTATATATTGCTGTCAAGTATTAGCATAACAATCAATGACATCTATAAACAATGTTACCAAAATAGTTTCTCCACGTATGAAAATTAGAAGATTCATACTAAAAGAAACAATTATTTTTATTACTGTAAAAAAGAAAAATATAATTGAAGTTTTAATAAGAAATCTTCTGAATGTCCTTTGCTTTACATTGACATTCAATGAAAATTAAACAAATATTACTAATGATTCATGTTTTGCACTTCCGAGAGCATGCTTCTAAAAACAGAAACGTTTTAAAATACCTGTTTTCTACTGATATATATTGACATTGATTCACGTTATTGTTCTCTATGTTCCCGTATTCACATTATTTCTTCATTTTCAGACTATCAAACATACATATATTTCTCATCATCGCCATATTTTATGCATGGCCACGGCAACGCCTAGGGATCGAGCAAACTGTTTTACATGTGACAAAGAAAAAATCGTATATCCATGCGAAGGATGTTCAAGAAAATTTTGTTTGAAGGATTTAACAGAACATCGTCAAAGTCTTAGCAAACAATTTGAAGGAATCGAAAATGATCGTGATCAGTTTTACCAAAAGCTTGCTGAACAAAAAAAAGATCCAAAAAAGCATTCTTTGATTCAGCAAGTTGATAAATGGGAGAAAGCTTCGATTAGAAAAATTAAGCAAACAGCAGAAGAATGTCGACAAATATTAATTGAACATGAAAATAAGCATCTATTTGAAATAGAAAAAAAATTAAGTGAATTAACAACACAATTAAAAGAAAGTCGACAGGAAGATGAATTTAATGAAATCGATTTAGACCGATTCAAAACAACATTCATAAAAATAGCGGAAGAACTTGGTCAGCCACCAAACATTAGAATTCAACAAGATCTTACATCATTTATTAGCAAAATTTCAATTGTCGTGTCATCTAGAATTTGTCAAGAAAATGAATTTAATGAAATTAATTTAGATCGAGCTCAAACAAACTTATCAGAAGATCTGAATCAATGGTCAAATGTATCTATGCCAAAAGATCTTACATCCTTCACCAGTAAAAATTCGACTACTATATCATCTGGTAAATGTGATAAGGATATTTGAATATACGGAAGAGTCTATTTATACGAAGTCATAAAATTGTTTTCTAATTTTTTGACTAAAATTCTGTGAGAAAAATTATTGATCTTTTTATACTTTACTATTGAAAGATTATATTATTATTTATTCTTTATCAAATAGAAAATCATTCATACTGTAATAGTTTAATCATAAGTATTCTGAATAAGAATTATTAACAGTATTAAGATAAATGACGTCACCGAAGTAAAATCAACCTTAACCCTAGTACTACCAGCCTGGGTCATTTTTGACCCGTACTCAAAAATTTGAAAATGCACCAGCGATTTTTTGTTATCTCATAGTTTCCGGAAGCAACTAGTATTTCTTATGAATTGATATATATTGCTGCTATAAATGCTCTGACCACACGGAAGTCGAAAACCCTCAANTTTCCCGAGTAGTTTTTCGAACTTTTTATCGCTAAAAAGATGGCTTAAAAATCTTTTTAAATATACCGTTTTATAGAGCTCAACGAGTTCTATCAAACCATGTAAAAATATCCAAGAAAGAAATATTACTTCATTTTTGAATTACTGGCACCTTCATTTTCCACCCCAAAAAAGTATAAAATTTCTTAAGTTTGACACTAATAAGTTTTTATAACCCTCACTATTTAGTATCAATAAACCCCATTTTTGACGAGCTTGCATTTGATGTAAAATTTATTATGTCTTCTATTTGAAATTATAGCGGTATCCCCCGGGCAAAATATTATTTCCAACCCTGTATAAGTACAACTAAATATGTGCAGTAACCTAATGAATATTATTATAAAGATTGTTACTAAAACTATTCGTTCAGTTTGTCGCAAAGAAAAAGAAACTTTATCTCCTCAGAATATGTAGATGTAACCTATGGAATAAACATCTATAGAAGAAAAGAAGAGATCAATGAACATGAGAGAAGACGATATAGGCAGAGAGAATGTCAAGCAAAGATAAGAAGAAAAAAAAAGGAAATGAGGATTTCAATATCGGTAGACATGCGAGAATGAAGAACAGACCAAATGTTTTGTTATTGTTTCCTGTTGTAGTTCAGTCAATTTACTAATTTATTTTCTCTTTACGAATATGCTTTTCTCTTAATGAAGAAAAAATTCCTTGGAAAATTAATTAAAGGAAGCTTTGTTCCAAAAATAAGTACAACATGCTTTTATGGTTATTAAATAACTTCTTTAGTTGAATTTATAATGCTTAATTAGAAAATGTATTTTCTCTTGGAAGAAGTAATTTGCTTGAAAAACTGTTGCTGTTTCTTTTTCAATATGTGTTCTTACAATTATTATCTGATGATAAACGAGAGTATTTATATCATTTTTATATTGTATTCGAGAGCAAGATTGTAATAGATTCTAAATGCATTAGTTCTTTTTATTTTGTTTGATTATATAACACACACATACACACATCACAGAAGTTAATCAAGTTTATGTGAGTGTCAATGAACGATTTATTTGGTTTTTTTTCTTCTTCATTGAACCTTTTTTGATGTTGAAGTATTGAGTGTTTTAGCTCGTTGTTTAAACATATGCTTATACAGTGTTGGAAAATCTAAATAAGAATAGAAAATTTATCATCATCTGATTAAAAATAATTTTTCATGGTTTCTATTAAGAAACATATTGACAGTAAAAACTCGCAGAAAATACAAAAGAAAAAACCAAAAATTTTTGTGAAGTTACAAGTAGGGTTTTATAATATAACACATTGATAATATTTATTAAAATTTTATAAACTGCTAACTTCTATGCAGAATTTTTCACAAGTCTTGATGCACGACAAGATTGGTTTGTATACAGACAGAAACTAATCTCTGATCCAATTTTTTTTATAACCCTTCTAAGTACTCATGTCAGTTTGTCCGCGCCCATATGTTCTTTTATAATATTAAAAAATATAAATATGAAAATAAAAGCTTTGTAACGTTTTAATAAAATGCCGCACAATTCTACATAAAAAATAGTATAGTAGAAATCAATAATTATTTATCTTATTCATGTATTCGGCACTCATTACAATCCATTGATTACATATTCAGTTAAACTATATACTCAATAATGGGATTGAAATGGATAAAATACATGAAAAAGTTATATGCAGAACAAAATACAAATAACAAAGATAGTATTTTGAATTACTGAATAATCAAGTTTTTATTTCAAGAAGGTGATGCTAAATTTGTTGATATATGACCCAGTAAAAGTACGATGAGTTTCAATAAATAAGCATGAGATTAAACTACAATAGAGAAAAAACCTGTAAGGATTAATAGAAGTTCTAAGATACTCTTATGCTTTTCGTTTGTTTTTTTTCTTTGTAAATAAAATGTCATGTTAATCATTTGGAAAAAAAGTGATCATCACATTCCCAGGATTATTATTTTATTATTACTAGGGACGATATAATTCAATAATATGTCAACGGAAAGATTGACAGATGCACTCAACATTCATATAAAAACATATGGTTATGAGTTATTTTCTGTTTGCATATAAACTGATAATTGTTGCGCTTGAAGATCTATGAAATACTTAGTAGAGTACATTTTTTTAGGTCAATCTTGATATTGAAATGTAAAACGTATCTATCTATTGAATATTCTACTTCTATGAATATTTTAAAGAAATAAAAATAAACTTACATGTATAAGCAAGAAGAACAACGATAAGAAAATAAAAATAATCAAAACCAAAATTTAATTTATTTGGTAAAAGAATTGAATATCGATTTCGAATTGCTTCTGGATAGATCGTTTGCATTGCTTTTATTATCGTTAAAATTTCACCCTATTAAAAATAGAGAATAAAAAGAAATTTACGAAATATTTATTTTAATTATAGGATCATACTGTTACACCCATTGGATAGAGTACAATAAAAAATGAATATCTAAACAAATATATATATATTTCAAAACAAAAAAAGCAAAAAATTTAACTGACCGACACCATGTTAGTAATTGAGGAGAAGCTTTACATAAATTAAGTGCATAATAACCATAGCGAATAATTTCTGTTATACTCCATGCTGTTACTGCCAAAAATATACCAAGTGAATATTGAGCCTATAGAATAATACAATGGTTAATAATCATTCGAAGAAAATCTATTTATAGTTTGTTTTTTTTTTCTATTCATAAAAATTATTTACTGTATTTAAAAAGAAAATATTAGAAAAAATTCGAAATGCTTTTTTTTTAATAGTTTGATAAACACATTATGTAAATTTTCTGAAAATTTCATTATCATTTTATAAAATATACTAGTAAACTTACTTGTGGAATATAATTAGCTACACCCCAAACAAGAAAAACACGAGAAATAATTTGAATAAAAACAATCATTGGATTTGATCGAACAAGACCAAGCATAGCATGTATGACCTTTAACAAAAAAAAATCAATTGAAATATTATTGAATTAATATGTATATGGGAGTGACCAGTCAGTATGGTATCCCATTTTGATACACTCCTATTGTATGGATACAAACGTACTATTGTTCGGGTCATATAAGAGAGGATCCTAGATAACCCTGAATTGGCCCGAACAAACATCATGTTTTATCCGTACAATAGTTGAGAACAGCTACTAGCTTATCGTGTGAGTTGACAGCTTTTCTCTACTATTGTACGGATAAAACATGATGTTGTTCGGGTCAATTCAGGGTTATCTAGGATCCTCTTTTATACGACCCGAACAATAGTATGTTTTATCCTTACAATAGGAGTGTATCAAAATGGGGTACCATACTGACTGGTCACTCCCATATATATATATATATAATATTCTTACTTCAAGAAAAGCAGCTGTTTGACAAATCTTAAGTGGTGCTTCAATAGATTTCCATAATCCACGACATTTCCATAAATCACCTACTGATTTATAGGAAACTACTTGTTTGATTGTTTCATACAAAATAAATGTCCATCTTTATATTAAGAACACGAACAAAACATAGAAATTGATATTTTTCAAAAATAAAATATTTTACAAACCCAACAGTAAGAATACTATTATAGATAAGTAAATAAAAAGTTGTCAATGATGACGATGATTCCTTTAGAGTCGTAGATTTTTTTCTTGAATCCATTATCTATAAGAAAAATAAATTAGCTTGCTTTTTAGAGTAAAATATTTTCAAATCGAATACTAACTAACTAACTATCAGTTTTAATAGAAGAATGGGCATATAGAACAACCATTCCTGTTGTCTTTAAAATTCGTTATTGGTGACATCTTAAGGATGTAGGTATGTACATAGAGGTTGTATCTATAATAAATGGACTCTATTCCATTTGAATACAATTATATGATTGATCTAGTTTTTGTAATACTATAAGAGACGATTTTTGTCTCATAGAATTGTATGATATATTGATATATCTTAGTTAAATTTTCAATTACGAAGTAATGAATTAGATATAAAGCTAAAAGTACATGTCGATTTGACTATAAACCTAGGTAAGTGTAAACAAATGAAAAGTTAAATTTCTTATGATACAAAAATTGTTTAACTATTGAAAATTTTATCTTGGGAATTTTATTTGCTAATAAACATAAATATTATGTATTATATTTAACAGAAAAAATAGAAAGTATTCTATATCTTAAATATGATATAATACAGTATCATTTTTTCTGTCATGTGATGCTAATATTTTTTATGACGAACTTGTATCCTATTATCGGGAAACGTGAAACTGATATGCTACATCTAAAATAAACTTGACCATCTTTATGATTAAATGCTTGATTTAGTAATTAGTACTTAAAAAAGTAATGTTATATATGAAATTATCGTTTGGATAATAGAATCAAAATATATGTTGAGTACTTTTTCTTTTACAAATAGCATATTTTATATGTCGAAAGAATAACTTTGACAACGTCTTTTTCTGGACTTGAACAGTTAAACTACTCATTCGAAACAATAAAAATTTACAAGCACAATGAAACAAATTAGAGGTTGATGCTCAATTTAAA